GTTCCTATTCTAAGAAAACAATGATGCTCGGGCCCTGAAAGGTCCCGCCATCAACTTGTTTGAGCCATAATTTGGAAGACAGGTTTAGGGACGGATTCCTCTCCTGAGACTCTAAGCCATGTATCCAGTTGCCAACTTGACTTGAGCACTTGGATATCCAATAGGTTTCCCGAGTTTAATGCGCCTTCAATGGTCCTTCCTCAGTCTTTGCTACCTTAGTCAATGGCCATGACACCCACCCACTTGCTCAACCGCAGACACCTGAGAGGTATTCTCGATGCCTTCAAGATGCTATTCCTCCCATCCAATCCAATCTAATTGCTGTTGGTCAACCTCCAAGGTGGATCTTTAGATTGTTCATATCTCCCACAACCATCCTAGTCCAGGGCACCATTGTAGTCTTTTCCTTACCTACAGGATCCCTGGTTTTCACTGTGGTTTCTGCATCTTTGTGGATTCTCACTGGATCATGAATTTCTATGGGAGGAGCATGGTATATCAGGCCAGGAAAGCATGACCAGCTAGGGAAGCGCATAGCACAGGTGGGTGGGTTGGTTCGTTTGAGCATATTGGTGTGTGTAGGCTAGAGAAAGTGGTAGGAGGACTCAGTGATCAGAGCACCCCTCTGTTTGGCAAAAGGAGATCACAGCTCAGCCCCCAAGCCCTGGGATGGCTGTGGGTACTGCTTCTCTCTCTTTCTCACCATCTCTGCATCTCCCCTTGGCTGGAGTCTCCTTGGAGACCCTGAGGTCCTGATGGTGACTGCAGAATCCTTCCTACCACCTTCCCCTCTGTTTTCTGTCCTTAGTTCAGCCCACTTGCACCTTTCCCAAGGCACACAGGCAGACAAGACCAGGACCTCCAGTCTCAAGATGAGCTCCTAAGAGAATTGAGAGGCACCTGGGGATATCCTCATCAGCTTTTCTTACATACAGTCATCCCCTCTCATCCACAGTTTTGCTCTCCATGGTTCCAGACACTTCTGGAACCTTGGTAAAGCCTGAACAATAGAAGTGCAAGAAATAGAATCTTTGATACCAGGTAGAGTACAGAGACCAAAGACCAAGTTGGCCAAAGGAGGAAGGGCTCATAAGCAGATAAGAGACTAAGATGGAGACATGCTTGTGGGGGAACACGTGGCAGAAAACTTTGCAGAAAACTTTAGTGATTTGCTATAATGGTTGTATAGAAAGAGGTGATGGTTTCCTTCACATTGAAGTTTCTTGAAGGTAAGGGTCACATTTTGGTGATTTTGTATCATCCCACCAGGCCAGTGCTTTGTGTCAGTTAATCAAATAGTTGTTGCATTTATCTGGAGCCTCTAGGCACATTTCCATGCACACCCACCATCTGAGCTTCTTGAGGATGGAAAATAATTTCTGTGTCAGAGCGGCTCCACCGTTATTCAGAACTGGCACAAGAAGGATTATCAGAGCGAGAGATTTTTCAGTCAGGCTTTCTGGGGGCCTCTTTGAAGTGGGTGTTTGTAACACATTTTGCTGACTTCTTCCATAAATCCCAAGAGCTCTGGTAATTTTACATCAAAAAATAAGAAGTGAAAATGAAGCAATTTGGCTGTGAGCACATCCTTGAATTTCTACTGGTTGCTTCTGATTATAATTTGACTGTGAATAAATTTTTACCATTTGCAACCTGGTATGAAGAAAAAACACACCCTGATCCTTTAGAACAGAACAATGTCTAAAAACATCCCCAAGTTCAGAGGGCGAGGGGAAGGTTCTGAAACAAGCTTGGCCAGCACTCCTGAGGACATGGGGAGGAAACTTTTCATTCCATAAGAACCACTGACCTCGGCCCTGTTTTGGCCTTTGTAGTGCAAATACTGCATTTGCGGAGGCACTGGGAGGAGGGGGTCATTAATTACAAACGGGTGCTCCTTCTGTGTGGGGAGACCCTGTTCAGATTCAAGGCCTTGAAGTTTTGGATGAAGCCAGTCCTCAAACATATTTTTTCCATTGTTCTTTATTAATTAGGAAAAAACCGAACTTTGAAATAATGAGACCAATAAGAATTGAAATAATAATAGCTGACATGTAGTGCTCACTAGAGCCAAGAACTATTCTATGTGCATTAAGTCATTTAATCCTCACAGCATCTCTGTGTTTAGAGTTGAGGAAGCCTAGAAACAGAAAAGTGAAATCAGCCTCCCAAGGCCACATGGCAGAGCCGGGATTCAATCCCGCACTAGCCCGGTGCCAAAGCTGAGCCCCTCTGTGAGCGATACCACTTCTCTTGAGTGCCAAGCTAATTGAAAAGCTAGGGAAACTAGGCCCGCAGGCTTTATGTTTTGTGCTGAGCTCTGGTGGTTAGGCCCCTGAAAAATTAACCTAGTTAGAAAAATTAAAAAAAAAAAAAAAAAGCTGAAACTGAAGGGTCCACCCGTGTCTTCCACAAGTCCAAGGCCAAGCTGACAAAGCCAGTTTGGGGCAGCTTAAGATTTTCCCTTTCCATGGCCGGATCTGTTTTAGATCTACTCTTCCAGCTGGTCCTGATTTGCAGAATGGTGCTCAGTTTTCCAAACAAGCCCTGCACTGACATCTCCGAATTCCATTCCAGCGAATGCCGCTTCGGTTGTGCCACAATTCTCATGGTTGGGGGATATGGTCCCCCCTTCTTTTTGTAAAAGTGGAACGTAACAGTTCATTCTAATTGTTGCATGTTGTAATATTTTTACATGCAATTTTCTCCTTCAGTTCATTGCTCCCTACAAAGGAGTTTGTGGGTATGATTATTGTATTATGTTTATAATTGAAAACAGCTGACTTCATGGATTTTTACATTTTACCTCGTTTTCCAGCTGGGTCTGACTTTGGCTTGTCATGTGAGGCATAAGGGGAGGGGGTTTGGGGGAGAAAGCAAGGGAGGGTGTCAAATCATTGCTCTCGTAGCCAACATCAATAGTAAACTGGCTCCGGAGAAGAAAGGACAGGATTCTCTCAGTGCAACGATTTCAGAGCCTGAGAAAGGTTTCTGGAAAGGAACTTTCAAGTATAAAAAGGGAGTGAGAACAGGGTAAGTGAAGGTGTGGGGTCATGATGCCAGAGCCACCATTGAGAGCCTATTATATGCCAGGCACTGTGCTAAGCACTTCATGACTTACTTCATTTAATTCTCACAACAGCCCTACTTGGCTGATGAGACAACAGGCTCGGGAGGGTAAGGGCGAAATGTAAGTGAAGGAGCTGAGAATTCAAGCCTGAGATTTTTCTGAGGCCAGAGACCAGGCTCCTATGCACTCACCCCACTGTCCCTGCCACTGGGTTCTAGCTGGAGAACCATTCAAAGGCCCGCTCCACCCCCAAGCTTTCCTGGATTGCCCAGGGGGAAGGTGAGTGTCATCTGTGATGGAGACCCCTCCCTAAGTCTGATAAGAGATCGTATTGTCAATCATTTGGGGTTGTCAGTTATTGTCAGCCCCACCCCCATCACTTTTAATATCACCCTTTCCCTGTACTCCTCCCCCCAAGTCCTGGGGAATTGAAAGGGCAAGGTGTTCCCGTTTGTCGGTTCTCCTCTATGAGAAATGTTATGGACACTGAAGATGCGGGCCATGGATGGACTCCTCGTGTACTTGCTGGAGATTCTTAGTGCACTGTGTCACTGGGGGTGACCTCTTGGTCCCCCTGCTCTCATCCGGTGCGTTCTCTGCAAATTATTTAGGATTACAGTGGTTGCTGTGGTCTGATGTGTGTATCCTTCCCCCAACACACACGTTGGCATCCTAACACCCAATATAACGGTGTTAGAAAGTGGGGCCTTTGGGGGTGACTGGGGTATGAGGGTGAAGCCCTCATGAGTGGGATTAGTGACTTTATAAAAGAGACCCCCAGAGGCCACAGATCCCGAGCTCTTTTCGCCATGTGAGGGCATGAGGAGAACTCTGCGGCCAGGGAGAGGGGCCTCACCTGGCGCGGCACCCTGACCTCAGACCTGCAGGCCCCATGGGCGCGAGCGGTCGGTGCCTGCTGCTTATAAGCTGTGCGCTCTGGTATTTTGTTACAGCTGCTCGCCTGGACTGAGACAGTCGCAGAGATCTCCGATGTGATGGCCCATCTTTTCTCAGACACGGGAAGATCTGCCAGAGCTTTGTGTTGACTAAGCTAAAACAAGCCCCGTTTTCCTTCTCGGGGGGTCCCGTGTGAGTGATTCCTGGGCAAGCCGGCCTCCCGAATGCCTGGCACCTGCGGCCTGCGGCCCCCCCCCCC